GGGACTTGGTTCTTAATATCCGGGTACTGCTGTCGCCATGGTAACGGAGCTGATGAGTATGCCCTCTTGCGGGGGTCATAATTTTACAGCTCCGTTTCCGCCGGCATATTCGGTCGTATCGTGGGTAAAATAAAATAAATCCGCGGTCGTTTGAAGTTACGAATCTGCAGAATGTTTACCGGATTTATGCTGTCTGGCTTTGCTTTACTTGATGGACGTGAACACCTACTCTCCAAGCAGGGGTTTGGGTTTGGGGTTATTTTTGGCGTGTTTTTAGTTTTTTTAGCGTTTTTTTTTTTGGGGGGGGAGGTAAAATAATTCCAGTGCCAAAAGAGAAATCCCCCAAAAAAGCCTTAAAACACGCCAAAAATAACCCCAAACCCAAACCTCTGCTTGGAAAGTACACCCAAGTTTACATTTTTTGCAGGCTTGAACTTGGAAAAATTCCATCAATCGACCAGATAATATCCCAAAGAAGAAGAAAAAACGAGGTATCATAAATCGTTCGTAACAAGGTATTTGATTGGTCACAACTGTACACTCATCGACTAGCTCCACATTAAGTGTGCCGGTCAGGTATTGGACATCAGCAGTTAAATTAACAGCTGATCAGCTTCTTTGCTCATCGGAAATGGAAATCTAAAGCGAAGACATTTAATACAATGCCAGAGCAATGGCGTAGTAGCTGAACTCCAGAAAAATCCATTGGTGTCTAGATCTTTGCATTTAAGAGTTTTTTTTCCAGATAGCATTGTTGGAGGGTACTGAACCGTGACAAGAATGTAGCTAGTATCAGAGTTATGAATTATTTTCACCGCACATGAACGTAAGACCACTATAATCACCACCATTGCAGATGATATATAGCCTGATACCTTTCCGCAGCATCCGTAATCGCAGCATGGGTTTTGCAGAGACATTAAGTCTAGGGCATCCATGGGGAAAATAAATGTACTTCAGTCTAGTAAAGATAACTGTGGGGTCGAAACCGCCACTTACCGTCAAGGATACTTTCTTTTAACGACAGTACGTGTTGCGTAGAGGTCAACCCGAAATCCACACTGTTAACGTTGCGAGGGCCCACACAGGCTGGCTCTTCGGCCCCAAGGCTGATATGTCCCAAAGGAACTTTTGTCTCAGCCCCCCTGCGGTTTAGATGCACTTGGCCATGCAGGAGGGGTTAGAAGCTTACAATGCTGAGGAAATCAAGTATACAGCCCTAGGAGAATAGGGTGAATAGGTACATGTAACGTAAGGGTGAATGGGAGTAACAGTAGGGTCCACATTTTAAAACATTCGGCACTTACAGCTTAGGAAGAGTATACAAGGAAATCTTAGTGGCAACTCTGACACGGAGGTCTTAGTTTCCATGGCAGCGAAGTACGTCTTGAAGATTAAGAGACATTTGTCTCCAATGGTTGCGTTAAGCTGGCAATAGCAGTAGGAGACAAATATAGTAGAGTGCACGTGGAACTCGTTGCCACCAAGCTCAGTTGGGTCATCATCACTGGAAAGCTTTAAACAACTCCTGCAATTAAATGTGCAAACAACTCCTGCAATTAAATGTGCAGAGATTTGGTGTAACAAGCTGTTCGGTGTGATATAGCTAGCTGTCGCCGCGCTGTGTGCCTGCGAAGCTGGTATGTTACGCGTTGTACCTTTCAGATACAGAAGCTGGTGTGTTACACTGAAGGGCGGTTATATCGGCTATACAGATACAGAAGCTGGTGTGTTACGCCGAAAGGCTGTTATACCGGCTATACAGATACAGAAGCTGGTGTGTTACACTGAAGGGCGGTTATATCGGCTATACAGATACAGAAGCTGGTGTGTTACGCCGAAAGGCTGTTATACCGGCTATACAGATACAGAAGCTGGTGTGTTACGCCGAAGGGCGGTTATACCGGCTATACAGATACAGAAGCTGGTGTGTTACGCCGAAAGGCTGTTATACCGGCTATACAGATACAGATTGTAATAGCCTAAAGAAGGGTTCACGGGGTGCCTGCAGCAACACGCGTACGATCCTGGGCATCAGCGTCATCGGGAGGTTAGCGTGTGGGCGTTGATGTTTCCTCTGGACGTCACAGTTACTATAATGGGTCAGGTTTATATGAGTCAACTACATGGCACCTCGGAGATTTGACGAGGGAATGCATCAATGAAAAGTATAAAACTTTGGAGCGCCTGAATATTACCGGCTTCCTTTAAAATTAAGAGACACTTAGAGTAACAGAAATGTAAATGACCCAAACGAACGGACACTAACCATATACTAGTCCGAGCTCATATATATATATATATATATGTGTGTGTGTGTGTGTGTGTGAGTGTGTGTGTGTGTGTGCGTATGTGTGTATAAGTAAGCCCTTTCTGAGTCATATGGTATATAGGGCGGCGCCAATATCTGTGTATACGTAACCCTTTAGCTTTGGGCAGCACACCTGGGCAAGCAAGACAATAGAGGATCATGCATGGTGGTGGAATATGTTAACCTTGTCTTGACACAGAAGTGGTCTGTGCTTGAACTTGGCTGTCCTTTTCACCTTCTAGTTCAATGTCAAGGTCTAAAGCTAAGTAGATCATGATTGAACTAGACCTTTGCTGACGCTTGACCGGCCGGCAGTATATTTCGCCTGTATTGTGTTCCTGCACAACTCTTATTCCTAACTCAAATCGATCAGCGACGAGAACTACATTCGTAATGGCGCCCGCTTCTGTTGCTATATCCGGCGTCAGCGAAACCCATATCGTATGCTTTGTTCCGCTAAAACCTCCGTATTGTGGTATTGACATGTTGGTTATGGCAGAACGGGTGGTTTAATCCTGCTACAGAGGGCAGGTGAATGAACGAGCGCTGGTGTGAATGTAAAACTGTACGGCAGAACACGCAGCGGGTAATAATGAGTATAGGGAGATGGTTGTTATCACGGAGAGCGGGATCATAGTAAAGCTGGGCCGGCTGTCAATACAATCTCACATTAGCGCCGTCAGGTCTGTCAAGCAGATTCCAGAGCAATGCCTACAATCGGATAGTTTGACAGACGCAGGTTTAGCATTGCCGCAATATAGTTCTGACAATTTGTAAGATATATAGGCATAGTTAGCAAGATGCTATTGTAGTATCTAGTCAATACAATCTCACATTAGCGCCGTCAGGTCTGTCAAGAAGATTCAGAAGCTATACCTACAATCAGATAGTTTGACAGACACAGCAATAGCACTGCCGCTGTATAGTTTTGACAATTGGTAAGATAGATAGGCATAGTTAATAAGATGCTATTCTGGTATCTAGACAATTGTGGTGATGTCTCATGTATGACTTTTTTTATACTTGCTCAAGCACAACTTAGAATGGTGACTAGTATGTACTGGAGAACTCTTTGCCACAAGCATTTTAATCAGGCACTCTTTGTACATGGCAATATAATAAAGTAAGTATAATACAGGACTGTGTGCAAACGGTGTTAACGTTTGCACGTTCGTACTGATCTATATAATCTATGTAATATCATCATTATCATCATCATATCTAATAACAGTCTGAAATATTGCATGCTTTAAAGCTAACAAAGATATAGACGGCAAAATATGTACAGTCACATTTACACCATGCAGTTTTATATGCTAATGTGTTTGTCAGGCATTCTGCTGTCTTTAAAGGCCCTTGTGACATCGTTGGGGTTATGACGGATGTCCTCATACGCACATTCATTACTTAAACATAATATTGATCTAAACATATTTCTCGCCCCATTAGACAATCAATATATTTACATACAATGTGAAGAGTAATAAATCATAAGAAAATATATCAAAGATGACTGCAATTAGCAAGTTTTATCTTCGTCATTCAAACTTGACGGAATGAAGTCCAAGCCCAAGCTAGACCAGCAAAGCTCAACTTTAACGAGCTCAAAAAATATTTAAACTTTTATACCTTTTGAAAATGGAGAGCAAACAGTATAACCCCTTAAATGTGGGCAACGTGAAAACCAAAAATCAAAGAAAGACTATATATATGTATACAATATATACATGATTTTTTTGTGCCATTGATTGTTTACAAGATGTGCCTTGAACCCTAGGCCTACTCTTATTCATCCAAGCATAAAAAGGCGTAATAGAGACGTACAAACTAACATCTTGAAGAACGCTTTCTCCTGACCTAAATATTATGACATAAAATGCCAACAACGTTGTCAATGCAACGATTTACGCTAGCTCTTTGACAACTTGGGCTTCCTATAATGTCTACGTCTTTAGGAAATCACACGGTATTGTGTATTTGTGAGTAATATACTAGTATGCAATTTTTTAAGTATAGCGTTAGGATTTTGCAAAACATGATACATGTATAATTGTTAGATAATCTTCTTATCTGGTGTATTACTGTAAGCAAGGATGTGTCTTAATACACCTATAGCAATCATAGTGATGACAGTAACCTCGGAATATCATCATGGTAAAACTTCCTCTTACCAATCACTACAGGATTACTTGCATGGGAAGCAAGTAGAGGCAGAGGTGTCGATACCATGAAGAAAACTTCACCAAGCTCGGCTCGGCGCGGTGCAGACGTTCGTCTGCTGTTGCTTTTTACAGCGTGTAACGGCCTCGCAGACCAGGCGTGCTGTGGCAAGTAGTTTACAAGACAAGTGCAACTTCTCTTTCCGCTGAACCTCTTCAGATCCAAAATATTACATATCTAAAAAAAACTTTTTGGCCGATAGAAGCCACTTTTGCATTGGTTCAACTGCTAATATCAATGGGTAGACGGCATGGGTCTATTCATATTCCTCCTAGATCATCCTGATGGCTTTGTTCTTGTAATAATTGTATATTTGAACTTTGTAACTATGCTGTCAATTACTGTATGTACATGTATTGTATGTATATTTGTGAATGAATGGGCCCACCGCTAATGGTTATTCTGAATAAAGTTTCCCTGTGGCTATATCGCAATTGCTGGAATTCGCCCCTCAGGCTGTTGATGACCAGAACCGGCTCTGACATGTTCAACAACAGTTCAGCTTTTCACACACAATTATTGTTCATCACTTGCTAATTTGATAATTTCAACATGTACATTGCATCATGTGTCATGAAGTTTTTTGAGCCATAGAGATACTCTTCTGGCAAAGATTTAGGCTTTGCCTCATTTCTGGCCTGTTTCAGGCATTTTTATAGGTCTCTCTCTCTTTGTTTGTACTGGTATATTTTTTAAGCCAGCCCAATGGCTAATGGTAAATGGACACAGCCTGGCCAATTTGATACTGTCTTTGCAGCCACCAAAAGATCAGCTTGGAGATTACTTTACAGAGAAGCTTCACTTGTTCTTCAAACACTTTCCCCAGCACGCCCAGTCTGCGAGGCCAATCTCTAGATCAGCCATGCGCCACGTCTTCCACATGGATCCCATTCTCCAGCCCCAAGCCGCCGAGCCTGTAATTATACAGCAAACACTGATAAGAAGCAATAATAAGAACGCAGTAGAATATCAATCCACACAAAACTAGATCGTGGAACGACTGGACATGTAGCTATATAACTGGGAGGAAATGAGGTAGACTCACTGTCTCAGCAGTTTGGTGGACTCCTCGGCCTCGGCGATAGACAGTCTGATCTCTTCCCGCACTGCACGGACACTGAACGGGGAAAACGGGGCGGATTGAGATCACGAATAAAATGGAAGAGGTAAAACTAAAGGTCTCATTGCCTCTAGAGGCCATAGAGGCAGTGGGGTATTTATGTACTGTGTCTTGGGCATGGCATTTGAGGGAAGAGCATGCCCATTTATACCTGGGTGAAACGAGGACAGTCGTGTCAAGTGTCTTTTCGGACGTCTAGCAAGAAATATCAGGAATCCAAATGAGACACCAGATCACTATTTATTACACTGCAAACTTTATAATACCGAAAGGACCAAAATGTTGTTATCCATATCTTGCCTTCATCTTGAAAACATACTTCCTTCCGACCCACTCAACGTAAACGACGCCGCATTATGTACTTTACTTCTTACAGGTAGCCCCTCCCTCCCATACCCTACTAACTGCCGTATCTTTGATATTGTGTACAACTATATCCACCACTCTGGAAGATTTGACCAAACTCAATAATGTTATGCTATAGGTATTGGTGCGCCAGCCACTTTCATTTTATGTTTATGCTACACTTTATGTCATCTTTATGTTTACTTTTGTATTATGTTTTATGAGCAGCGGATTTACATAAGCACAACAAGTGCTTTCTATCCAATGCTCAAAAATCCATGTGAATAAAATAAAATAAATATCAGGAATCGAACCCTTGACCTCTCGGTCCCGTTTTCACAAGCCTAGACGGTGTCAACCACAAATTATAGACGACACAAAAGAAAGGAACCGGCATGGAATGTTACACATCAAGCATTATTCATATTCAGGGCACTAGTATTGCATGTATCAAACGCACATTCATTCAATATTAGGATTATATATATTTGAACACGACAACACAATTGCCAACAGCAACTGCTGTCTCGTCTGGAATTCAATTTCACCTTCACCTTTCAATCTAACCTATACAGTTTTTTTCCAGACGGCATCACAGCAAAGGTTTTATACAGAAAGAAAATTAATGTCCCAATAACTAAAAAACCTCCGGTCTGTAACATCTGTCCCCAACCGCAGGCATTTTATATTCATTTCTTCACATAAAACTATATTACCATAGTTTATTTCGCCAAGCCTGACTCGTCAATTTATTCATTACATTTCCCCATAACATATAGTAACAAAAGTTGTAAACTGACCAACCATTGGACTCAATACTGTCCCAGTGTTTCTTCATCAAAAATTTAACGTGCCTTACAACGCCCCTTTTTTCATAAGTGTCCCCAAATGACTCATTTTTATATGGACCACGTATGCATGTGGTTATACTGCGTCCATCTGGTTTTCCTAGAGGTTGAACGCTGATCGTAAAGAGTGGGTAGTGATGGCGCCGCTGTGGAGTTTATGACGTGAACAGCCACGCTATAACCTAACAGTTGATGTCCTGTCCTCTTACAGACTGCGCACGCTTGCGTTAAGACCACTTCCTGTAATTTAGAGCCTGTTCTACAACACGAATTGCTTCTCCTTTCACAGACGGGTGATAAAAACTGACCGCGGTGAAGTATCGTATCCGCCTGGGCATTTGTGAAACGGGAGACGTCACTGTAATTTCGGGCAGCAGGTATTGCCTTCGTCTGGCCTTTAAGTGGCCTTTTGTAAAAGTCAACTTTTTGTCATTTTACAACGCTTTTTTTTTCTTAAGGAATCAATACAGAAACCACATAAACCTGGATAGCGTATAACGAATGTGCTGTGACTTTGGCAAGCTCAAACAAGTAGGTATTATTACTTCATACGTAGTTCGCATATAGATGTGCTTTGAGGCTGTCTATATAATGTTAAGGGAGCTCTAGAGGGGGGCACAGCAGTCAAGGGGTTACAATATAACCAGACTTATATTGCCTGACACTGATTTATAACTGAACATTGGCGGGCGGCATTTTGGCACTATGATATTGTTCAGGAAAATTGCACAGCCGCTAGATGTATATATACGGCACAGGCGCCGCTAGGGGAAGGGGAGGTATCGTTATTTTTAGTGCGGGTTTTAAATTATGGTCAGGAAGGCGTTTGAGACGGTATTTTTCGTCCACAGAATATCACGCGGAGGATACAGATGACCATATATCAGGGGAACGTTGCCACTGGTTCAATAAGGGAATAGACGTGGATATGGCTAGAATCTGGAAGCAGAAATGCGATAGCCTTTGTACTATTGACTTCCCCCCAGCCTGTACAATCACTTCAGCTGGGGACTTTTCAATGGTTGTGTTATGTGTTTAACTCCTACACCCTTTCCCAAGTGTTAAGTGCTAAGCATGCAGATAAAGCAGAATGTACCATAAACTGTATCAACCAAGAAGAAGTTTGGGCTTTGGCTTATTTTTTCGTGTCTATATAAACCCAGTACATGGACCAGTACAGGTAGACATCAGAAATACCTGCACGGCCCTAATTTTACCTGCACAAAGGAGCACAATATTTCCAGCCCTGTTGGCAGTAGTATTAGACGGCAGCAGAAGCTGAAGTAAATGTAAAGTACCTGGCCTGGAGTTGCACCACTTCGGTTTGACTGAGAGGCTCTGACGCGGCAACAGACGGAGGTGCTGACACGGGCGGTGTGACGTCACAGGGAGGGGTGTGTGACGTCACGGGACGCTGCAGGGGGTCGGAACTCAGGAGGCTGTTCATGATCACGTGATGCTTCTGTACGGACTGTAGACAAGGAAGAATGATATAGTCACATTATAGTCAAATAAGTCCCTTGAAGACCACTCAGGTGGACAGGTGGTCATAAAAATGCTTGTGCCATTGTCCATGACCATTTGCTGCTTTTGTAGCGACTGTGGACAAGGAGGAATCACATAGAGTCAAAAGTGCACGAGTAAACCATGTAGGTGAGCCTGGTCTATGTGGACAGGCGGTCATCACAATGCGAGTGTCAATGGAAAATATATCTAATGACCTAAGAGGACCGGTACCACTCAAGGGATCTATAGAACTTGGTCTGTGTGGATAGGTGGTCATTATAATGCGGACTCTGATCTCCAAGCAGATTCTGTGGGGTAAGGGGAGTCGGAAGTTACAGGCGGCAAATATGGACTTCCATTGCTCCACAGAATCTGCTTGGAGATTATGCGGACCCAGTATGGGCCATTCAAAGAGTGGCCACAATGACCAGCTGGTCCTTACGTTCAGTTGGTCACTTCTACATGTTGGATTGTACATGGATATGGATAAATATTCTACAGAGGATCGCAGTGGATTTCTTCGACAGTTTACATATTACAAACTATTCAAACTCCAACGTGTGCACTGACTTATCAAACAGCTTTGCGATACTCCAGGCTACTACTTATTGTGTGGGTGGTTGATGCCTTAAAGACGTCCTTAATGCATACTTCCAGTTATAAAAACGAGAAGCCAACCGCCCACATTTTCTACAGGAATAGTCTTTTACCTGCTGAACACCAAGATAAAGAAAATAAAACCTTCTTTCGCCCACTCTATCCTGTTTGGTGCAGACATTTTATACTCATTTCTTCACATAAAACTATATTACCATTGCTTATTTCTTCAGGCCTGACTCGTCAATTTACCTGCTGGACACCTAAAGATAAAGAGAAGAAAGTCTTCTTCCACCCACTTTATCCTGCTTGGTGCATATCAGTGCCTAAATATCCAGGGTAAGCCTCTTACCTGCTGCAAATTTCCTGCCATTTGGTCGCTGGCGGTGGAGACTTTGTCAAGAAGGTTGACAACTTTCGCCAACTTCTGTCGGTAAAGGAACGCTTTCCTGGAGGAAGAGACAAAATAAAGTTCTCTAAGCATCAAGTTTTATTTATCAGAACCGTGCTTTCGTGGACAGGTTTGCGACAAGAAGGGTATCCTTGTAAAATTCAGATGTCTTGTGACGAAAATGTTGTCATAGTTCCCAATGATGCCAATTTGGGGTTTAGGACGTAAAACTGTGATTGAAATCCTTGTTGATGGTTGGTTCAGACATAGCCTTGCTGGAAATTGTACATGGAAAAAAATCTTTACTACGGTGAAGGTTAGACATCCAGGTAATGAAATACACAAGGAAATTGTTACTTAAGCAACTGAATACGTTTTCAAAACCAATCAAGTTGCTTGAGCAACAATTTCCTTCTACAAAAACCTCTCTACAAGCAAAATCCTTCGTCGAATATGACCTCACCTGAACTCTGAGTCCATAACCATTACGACAAATCTTTAACAATTCTATATGAGTTTTGCAAACTTTTCGTCTGCCATTATGATCTCACTCGTTGCGGCACACGTCTTTGCAGCAAAGTGGTCTTCACAAAAACTGCGTTCCTGTAGCGTTGATACGTCAAATACAGCGTTTCAAATGCCGCGTACCTCATAACTCTCTACGTAGGAAATTGTAAGTCGTAAATTGATTTTCACAGTTATGTTAATGCCTATAAATGTACCGGGACAGCGCTGTAAAGACCATCTATAGCCACAGTTAGGAAGCATACAATAAACAGTTCCCCGCTCACGTGTAAATATTAATGTCTGTACGCTTATCTTAAAGTTGCAGCGTGTGCCTTACGACGTAGTCTCCACCAGACTTCTTTTGCAGGCTGAATAAATCGTAGAAATCGGCCTTAACCCTTGCCCTGCTGGCACTCCTGGCACAATATTTTTCAATAATTTCATGTCTTAATTAGATCATTGACCTCCCAATTTTTTTGCCCTGCAGTTTCATAGTTACTTCCGCATTCTTTGCGTTTTGCTGCGGTGTGATGCGTTGCACGAGAAAACAACCCAAATCGTACCTATACAGGGTGCTATATAGATGGTACTGAGTAACTGTATGTGCAGAACAACAATTGTGGTGCTCCGCAGGACAAGGGTTTCAAACAGGATATAACTGGCCAGTGTTGTTGCACGTGCAGGCCAACTGGACCCTCTCTGGCCGGCAAACTCCTCTGGCCAATGATATCCCCTTTTAGGCCGATTTCTACGATTTATTCAGCCTGCAAAAGAAGTCTGGTGGAGACTACGTCGTGAGGCGTGAGGGGCAATGCGTTGCCTTAGATTGCGGATGGCCCTATTTCTTAAAGGCATCCAGTGCAGTTTTAAGGTTTCGAAACCCAATTTTTCAAAGCCAACGTTCTAGTTATTATATTCATCTACATACTGAGTTGAAACCACACTATCCCAATGTATAATGGCCCTCATGGAGCAAACAAAAAATCCCCAAATTCCGACGGAAAATGGTTACTGGAAGGGCCCTGGGCTGATTTTTAATTGCATGTAGAGTAGACAGGAAATTTTGGGGGACTTTTCTGGATCCAAAAGCCGGGACGCATGCCTGATAAACAAAAGGAAGGGCTGACATTCTGATGTTCATTATTGTTCTGTTGTCCCAAAAATGTCCCGAAGTGTCTTTTTAGTTGTCCCAGGCTTCATCTAAGTGGTCAGTGGACCACCTTTAATTTCGAGCCCTGGACTAATGACCCAACGTGTTACCTTAGATTGCGGATGCTCCTATTTCTTAACCATAACACTTGGTCGTAAGTGCCCAACTTAAGGAGGCTTCTAGAGTCGTAAATGTCAGTCTACTTTAAGGCGTCATTTTCCTGAGGAGGTTACAAGTCGTCTCGTCATAGTTCACTCACTAAAATCTGTGACATTTCGGGGCTACGGAAGGGAAAAGTCAATCCATGTCAGGTATTATTTCAAGGAAATTACTAGTGGTTCCGTGGCGGTGGAGGTCTTTGGAGGTGGGCTGGTATTGCTGCTTTAAAAGTTAAACACCTTCCCACGCATTCTGGTGGGTAGGGCGAAGTCAATCTCCGTTTCTATAGCCCTTGGGCCACACAAATGTACAAGCACTACTGCAGGCGGCTAATGCACTGGTAGGTGGTTGAGCTAACCTGAGTACTTTTTTTCAGTAGTGGTGAGTGTTCAAACTTTTATGTACCAAAAACTGTGGCATAATGTATATCATAAGACCCCACTCTCTCAGCTATATTGGGCTGAAATGTGCCCATATAAAAACACATTTTACAAAGGTGAAACAGTAATGTATAGTAGACATACACCTTTAACCTTTAGCACACTCAAGTACCCGCTTGGCTACGTATACTAATTAGGTAGCTTGGGGAAGGTTAAACCATATCATATCAACTAGGGTTGTATATTGGACCAGTCTAAGCTGGTATTTCATGTTCCTTATTACCTGTATGTATAATTCGTGATAGTAAGATTAGAAATACACGTAGACTGGATTCTGTATCTTGTACCTAATTCTACAACAACCGTCGGGGGATATTGCAATCCAATGGGATTAAATAGAAGGAAATACTTACTGGAACCACCGGGCGACTTCTGAATACAGATGTTTGAACTTGGGAACAAACTCGTCAGCGTAGGCGGACACCGCCTTAATGCAGTTGGCGCTCAGCTTTTGCCTGGGGTACAGAACAATGGTAGATATTAAAAAAGTACCCAGAGAACTGGTACTCAACTCTTAGCCGAAGGTGTTTAAACTTGCCGAATTCAACTTGGTATACGGATGCGCAAATGTTTAGGGCGAGAGCAGAATAGTACCAACGTATAAAACAAAGAAGATTCTGATATCAAGATTTAAACTACAGATTGAGAAAGGCAGAACGGTTCACAACGGTTCATATTTTGATGACACGTCAACCCAAATTTAGCATCATTTGCAACAATTGTAGATGTACTGTCTTATATTTATAACTTTAACTGTGTTCATAATGACTTATATTATGAATCTATGGGTGACGAATACATAGCCCGTCTCATACAAGTCTTTCAGCCTATCAACTGCAATGATATATACTTACTTTTCAAACTTGTGGATCTGTTCCTCATTATAAGACAGTCCTAGAAATAACGATAATATTCAGCTTTCTTTAGTATTATTGCGATAAGAAAATACCATTATAACGAAAAAGCTTAAATAAATGTACTAAGACAAAGAAATGAACACTGAAACAGAGATGTTTAAAAGTAGTAAATCTGTACCACTTACTCTTCAGACTTTTGTCCTTTTTGAACTGCAGATACGTAGCAACTACCTTCTCCAATACATACGCCGTCCTTTCAACACTGGAAAATATATAGCACTTGTTTTAAGACACCAAAAATGCTCGCTGGTAAACCAGAGCAAAGTTTAGATCACAGATCATAAAACTAGTAATCTGTCATATTTTAGCATCTTCGTTTTCACCCAATGTATATATCTATTCAGTTCAATCGACGGCATGGAATTCAGACATATTTTCAACAGTCGTTACCTGCGGTCTTTCTCCTGTGTCCCAACAGTGTCTTTGTCCTTCCACAGTTCCTTAAGTGTTTCCTCTACCAGAATTCTCTCCTCAACCCACTTCATCTGTTTCTCACAATTTGCATATTCGTCAAGAATCTAAGAGAAGGCGTAAGAAAAGGTAAAGTGATAAAATGTAGTCAATATTATAACACTATTGAAAGCATCAACGTAAAAGTGACTAAAGCATACATGTATGTACAAGTTGCAAAAACATGTATCATCACATTTTGTTGATAGTTTTTGCCTATTTCATTTTATCGATATTTTTGCTTATTTATATCTTTATTGCCACAATACATACCTTCTGCATAAATTCCCTTTTCCCGTCAACAAGCTGTTGCAGTTCAAGTCTTTTCCGCTGGACGTCGCTACTGGATGTACCCGAACAGAGGAGATCCAACATCTTACTGTGTAGAGAATGCCTAAAAAACAAATATGATTAATTTAAAGTTAAAACGTTTGAACCAACACAAAGTAAATTTTGTCACCTAGAGCTTTCGACCAGTTCCTGTGGTCTTCCTCATTAGACTGACCCAGTGAGACTTTTCACTTGGCTTCTTTAAAGTATGACGTCAACACAAATATGAATATAACTTTCGACAAATAAAACATGTGCCACAAAATCTTCTCTTTATTCGTAACTAGGAAAGCAAGCAGATCATGTAATGAAACGTTTCTTACTCATCCAGGAGCCGCCTGAGGGCCAAGTCGCTATGTGTAACCTTTATCCCCAGAAGATGGGTGTCAGTTCGGAGCTGTTCGGTTTCTCTGCTCATAACACATCTGCAAAAAGAGAAAACGTTGTATTCTTTATTACAAGCCATATAATAATACATTGAAGTGACAATACAAACCAACAGCACGTTACATCATACAATATAGACATTACATGTACCAAGGCTAGTGGAAGGCATTTGGAGCCTTTGGAAGGCATTTCAGCACTAGTGTTCGGTTGACTCAGCAGTTGTTGAAATGACTATTCAGGCACACAAGGTAGAGTCAAAATTAAATGACGAAAGTTTCAGCTCACTACAAACACAAAAAAGGCAGTGTTTACAAAATTAAACACTGGTCTTTATCCTCTAACTGCAACTTTTTGACGTATCAAACTTTCTGAAGAAAATATACAGGTACGTACATGAACCATTTGACGGCTTTTCTCATGATGTTCTGCTGAAGAAGAAGTGACGCTGTGGAGCGCTGACAGTCAAACACGACACTGGCGCAAACCTGGAAGGTATTATCATATTGATCTTACAGTTTTCTCAGATATCCACTCAAATCTATTTAGGTATTGGTGCGCCAGCCACTTTCATTTTATGTTCATGTTATATTTTATGTCATCTCTATGTTTACATTTAATTGTATTATGTTTTATGAGCAGCGGATTCACATAAGCACAAGTGCTTCCTATCCAATGCTCAAAAATCCATGTGAATAAAATAAAATAAATAAAAAAATAAATCTATTCAATAGTTGAAGTCTTAAAGCGATTTACAGCATATGAAATACATATAAAGGTGTATTTGGTCAACTGCAAGACAGTAACTTACTTTAGCCAAGGGAGCATCATTGTCGAGGGAAAATGAAGTCCCAAATCTGGGTAGTTTTGCTGAAGATCAAGAGAAAAACAATTTGTTACTGTTGAGAAGAAAATACATCTAGACGAAATGCATTGTAAGATACAAACAGCTCAGAATTTCAACGAAAGCAGAGAACAACTGCACAACTATCGGAAATTTCTAAAACGTACTGGAATGCTGAACCCAGCTAAGAGCGGTCTACTGTGAAAGTCATAAATTGATCCTAAGGATGTCGGCAGCTCCTTTGCTACATGTTGTTGAGTTCCACAATGCCACTAACAAGCCCATTGTCTATGTATGGCTGTAAAATTTGTTTATGTGATAAAGATAACGATCTCCACTTGCTGTGACTGCCATGGGGCAGAAGGAAGAGAGGTCGGCCAAAGAACACCTGGCGAAGAACCTTTCAGGAGGACCTCAAGAGGGCTAACACTGCCTGGGAAGAGACTGAGGAGGTAGCAGCCAGATGGAAACATGCTGCCCAATGTGCCCGGCACAGGAGGACCTAAGGACTAAGGTCTAAGGTAAGAATAAAGATAACATACGTAGTTCCCTATACTCAGCCCTGCTGAAGTCTGTGTGCACGTTGTCCAGCACGATAATCGGGTTATCAGGTGACGTTTTCGGGTAGGTTGAAGCCGGGTCCGTGTGGCTCACGGCAAAGTGATAGCTGTCAAAAATCATCTCCTGCCGGGCCGCCGGGATGTCGGTTTGTACTGCTACAAGCTCCTGGACACTCGCGAATCTAGATAATGTTTTACATGGTCATACTTATGTAATACAATCTATTAGTGTTTGTGTGAGCATTTGCATCAAAATTGAAGGCTAGAAGGCCAGTATATGACAGTATAGGTACACCCTACTGTACCTCCTCCGTAGGGTACCTAGTACTGTACCTAGCTGCGCAGGCTCCTGTCACATTCGTCAAACAACCAGAATCACCATTACAAATTGGGAACACTTTTAGGACAGTGCAGTCTTTATGTTTATCCCAAGCATGGCATTCTTCCAAACTAAACTCTTAGTCAGTGGGCACTCATTGTTATTTTCGTTGTCAAATGTTTGTCCTTATGCTATTGGTCAATGAGGCAACCTAACGACCAATCAACATGGTTGGTTGTGCTCTAAATGATTACCCTTTCTGGACTATACTTTTATTCAGTTCTTCGTGAATGTTAATTTTCATCATCTTTATTTAATGTAGGATACACTCACGTGTCTGTTGGGTTGACGTAGACTCTGAGGGACGTTGCTGTTGAGATGTTGAAGATGTGGATGATATCCATGTTCAGGATCTTCGTCACCTCCTCAAAGAACATTTCAAAACTCCACATCTTCACAGAGTCGCACTCCAAGATCCCAGCCAACAGTGGCGTCAGAAGATCCTTGAATCCCCTAGAAATAATCATGTAAATGATTGTTGTTTTTACCTTCGTAGAAAGAAAACATACTCAGTTACTTAGTATGTTTTTATTTTACTCTGTTTCTTCTTCCTCTTCCTCTTATTGAAACAAAAAAAGGTCAATGACCGGGACCAGACGGCTGTCACCATGGCTATCTGAACCAATCGCTCAGGACGGATGACTTTATGCACGTGTGAGGTCAGGAATGGGTCAAAGGAAGTCTATACCTGCCCCCGTCCCGGTTAAGAGAAGGGTCAGATAGCTGAAGAGAACCTTGAGCTTCTGATCCTTGCATAAATCTGCATGTTTGACCACTAAGCCAAATAGACAGATATGGAAAAAAGTCTAAGCGATGTCACACTACTGTTGTTAAGATGACAATTAACTCCTACCTTGACAGCAGGCATGTTTTTGGTAACGCTCTGCTCCACTCCAGCCGGCCATCTTCGGTATGCTGGATCCCAGAGATGGCACCTGACGGTTTTTCGGTTGTGATTTTGAACCTATTCATACATAAATGCAGTACAGATCGTCAAACATGTAACGTCTTGCACACATTTTGGTAAGAAGATATACTGCAAGTTATGGATTCTTTTTCACCTTTTTCCAGATACATATTCTAGCAGTGACTTCGCAAGTACACACAGAAACTTAATCGGTTTGTCTACTGCCATCACCAAAAGAATTTATCCTGAACACAATAACTATCAAATTCAACATTTTCGTCCTGCAAAACCTTATACGTCTACTAGTTCTACAAGCATGTACCACACTCCGCAGTATTTTGCTTGTGGGCAATCTAAACTTGCTTGGCCTACTTCCAACGTGATTTAAGAAGACTACTTACATAATTTCCTTGTTTCTCCGCGCTCCTCCGTATGGTCTGAAGGGAAGACTGCCCGTTGCCACGTGATAGAACGTGACCCCGATGGACCAAAGGTCAACGGTAGCTTTGAACGACTTTCCCATGGGTCTTCTCAGGACTGCTCTCTCGTACATGTCTGGGTGCTGAGGAAGCCATTGTAACAGGTGAGAAACGGTTGTCAGGACTTTCAAACAACCCAGTTGCCCAAACATTAAATGTTGGAACGTTCCTGTTTATAACTGTTATTAAGTTAAGCAGTTACTCTATCTTTGCAGCAAAGGGCTGAATGGTGAGGAGCTTACAACTAGTGGGGCTGAATCGCAAGGGTCTGGAGCTTATGCTATTCGGCGCTAACTCAGGTGACCTCAGTACGACCCCAGGTGCGGCCATAGGACCATTTATGGTATCAATTATTATTTCATTACCAAATATTCTTCTGTGCCATACAGTGACATAAACTGCTCTTCGTCATCCAGTTCTCTGGCTGCACCGAAGTCTGTGAGTTTGTAGATGGACAAGCTGTCTTCACCTGTGATGTGGAGTGTGGAAGTGAGTTTATGTTAGGATAGCGTCAAAATGCCACATGTAGAATGTTACGAATTACTTTGAATGTTTTTCTTACAAATAGACCACAGAACGCAAGAAAATGCAATATGGATGACTTACCAATACAACGCATGATATTGCCTGGCTTTAAATCTCGGTGAACTATTCCCTTTTCCCGCAAGTAGTTCATTCCAGCGGCTTAAAAAAAGAAGAGAATGTTCATTTCTAATCAAAATTACAATTTTTCTACACCTTATCCAAGAAAGTGACAATACTTCAAAGTTTAAATTGATTTTCTGACGTTGATGTGCAGTAAATACGTTTTATATTATATCATCATTTGTGTATTCTATGAACGTGACATTTGGATACATTTACTCTTTTCACTTCTCACTTACCAACATCTTTCATCACTAGTTTGAACTCCTCTTCAGCCAGACCATAGGCGTTCTCAGGTTCATCAAGGATGGTGTACAGACTTCCACCTGTGCATATCTCCATTACAATAACCTTTTGTCTTGTACTCGGCTGTGGAAAATAGAGAAATGTGTAACACTTTGTTCTCCATAGAGCATACCTGCTTGCACAAAGCGCTGTGGCAACGAAGAAGTTGAGATATGTAATCATGATCGCGGCCATACTTCCTCAACAACGGGTTGGATTTGTATGTATGCAATAGCGGTTTGTTGTCGCTATAAACATGACCGTGTCGCGGTAAAGTCTACGTTTACAACTGTTGATATATTGCAGTCAAACAAGTCGTCACTTTATGGCCCATATCTATGGTTCATAGATCTTGAGCTACTTGCATGACCATGCGTCCATTGATGTCTATGAAATACATGTGTCCTAACACAAACAATTGTGAACGTATCTGTTAGCATCTCCACGCTTATCGTGCTCCTGATTCTGTGTATTATTTTTTTACCTCCTCTTCAATGTCCAGTAGTTTGACAATGTTGCGATGCTTCAGCTTGAGGACCATCTCAAACTCCCTCATCTGAACATCCACTGGTCTCATGAAGCTCATCTGGTTGAAGGTCTTGATTGCACACAGATCTCCCGTTTTCTGACAGGGTAAAAAGCGCGTTTAGATACATTATGTTATGTCTTTTGCAACACGACACCTGCCACGATATGATATTAGTATGGTCTAGGTTACGGAAGAACCAGACAGGATCTTTGATGGGTTAAATGATAACTATTCCTTATTAAGTACGTACGATCACGGACTCCAAGTTCATTCAACCACAACTGACTACGGAATCCTTTGTTCAGATACGTTAAATGAAGCGGAACAACAACCACCATAGACGCCATTTTGACAAGGAAACGCATATTTCACTTCTGCTTTAAATTCAAATATTGGCATTGATCTCAGATATCGTAATTCTGTGAGATGAAACTTCCAATCTTGGCAGAAAACATTTTCCAATTGTATTGCTCTTTTCTTATAAGAGGTTGCGCATCAATAACAAGGTAGCTCTAGCCGTGTATACAATATAGCCACTTCCGGGTTGAGGTGATAGTATATTTTTATATATAAATAAATCATCCGTCGGCGTTTCTTGTTTCGTATCCACATAACACTTTAGTGACGGAAAGTAGAAACCAAAAATAAGAACTTTGATCGACAAGAAAACCTCTCAGTGGCTAGACGATTTTCTCCTAATATGGATTCGAACCAGGCAAAAGTACGCAGCCATTGACTCAATACCGTTTTTCAGTAAATACGAACCAGAGAACTTTTATTCTGTTAATTCACGTCGAAATCGTTCCAAATATCGTATTTGTAGAGTATCACATATGCCACGTACTTTCTGGCGGCAACTGCTCACCAACATATAAAGTTAACGAGTGATTTACTTCCAGAGTCTAAACATCCACATATAATTCTGTAAGAACTACATACTAGTACGTACCTTATGTCGTCCTTTGAACACACTGCCAGTCGCCCCCTGCCCAAGCACGTCTGCTGTAGACCACACATAGTGAGGAGTACTTCTCATCTGGACCACGGTCTGCATCATTCTGTCCTTTTTAGCCTACACACACCTGTGAGGATTGAAACAAAGGGGGAAGTTTTTATTTGTATCGGTACTGATTTAAACGGAACACACAGTACAAAACGCCAGTACAACTACTTGTATTACTACTATAGTAGTCCAACATGGGTGTGTTCATTCAACGATGACGGACTTGTAAGACTGCTTACGTGCATTGTGCTTAAGGCTAAAGAATGTTGTTTCTTCTACCTGACCTGGCATGCGCCAGGGCTGATGGGATACGTAATTCCCCAGAGGTAAATTATTCATTGGATCATAACACCGATCACAGGACAATGCGTGTCTACCTGGACACGCGCTATTGTTCATCGCAGTCCACGCTAATGTTTGAGCCGTCCACCTATGAGCAAAATGGTACAGTCCAATATGTACGTGCTTGTAGGTCTAGAAGACCTCAATTACGCATGTCAAGGTGTTTTTCTCGCACCAATAAAGTATTCTGAAGGCTTTACAGCGCCCTAAAAGTGCAGGTAAATCATTGTGGGAACTAAACTACTGGCGGTGACCGAACGTCCTGAACCCCAAAACCGCAAAATCAACCCCAAAATATCAAATAAAATCGGCCCCTGTAGTTCTAAATAAGACTGCTAGGGGGCCTAAATCTACAAAATGTCTTCACGAGTCCAAGAGCTATCTTCTATTAAAAATTTGTGATCAGAGCATGTTCAGAGCAAAGCAGAAGTCCTGCTGTAGTACTTAGAAAGCTGCTAGGTGGCCCTGAATCGTACCGCTTCTTCGTTTGCCAACATCTGCCAACATCACAATTATCATAAAGATCAATCGAGTTATGTTCTTCACTGACACAAGTACCCGAAAATGTAACCATCTTATTAAGCCTTGTCGTTCAGCGTAAAGAAACGGGTATTCTGGGTGCATGTAATCGACAACAGAGACTTAAGGCAGCAAGTCTCAAGCTGAATGACCTTAAAGACGGACGTATTTACCTCTGTTGGCAAAGCGCCAGGTAACGTGATATGCCCACCTTTGGAATCTATTATCAGCAGTAAGTCATAAACAAACACGTTTTGTGTTCAAAGGTCACCGGATACGGGTTCAGGTGTGGCGTGTTAAGAATAAATACAGTCATCATGGGACTTTCCACCATACTAAAGTTCAGACACGTTGCATCATGCCCCCGCATGGCCACTTCAAGTTTCTCCAGAAACTCTTGGAAAGTATATAACGACACAAAACTTACTTAAACATGAATATGCCACATTTTTGTCGGGGATAACTTTACTAAGGTATTATTGTAGCCTGTTCTGAAGGTAAGACAGAAAAATAATACAATCAGGTATACATACTAGTATATCCCAATTTCAAAAAGTTTGTAAACCAATACGTTTGCCTTCAAATTTAAAATTAGAGAATGTGTTGACAAGGACTTTTGATGAATACTTCCCCGTTCTATATCTACTAGTCAGGAAGTTGGCAACAACAATGTTCAAAAACATGTCGTAAACATTTTAGAGCGTACCAAATCGGCCTACAAAAGGTGATTAGAGCATATGTCTATCATGAACGACGTTGATATTGACAATTATGACAACTAAAGTACAATAGTTATCCTTACACATTCGTCAAATGGACCATATGGCCGTTAAATGTCACAGTCTGACAAACTTTCCACTCCAACTTCCTGACAGCTTTCTCACGAAACTTGATCTATCGGAATGCAGAACCTACATACTACAGTTCCTGAAGCCATACCTGACAACAACTTTCAAGCTAGAAAGTACGCAGTATAGTACGTTAAGTACTTACGGTAAGTAACCTAAATCGTTACCTTCTAAAGACGACAAGCCAAGTGCTGTGGTGTATAAAGTCTTGACTAATTGCATTGTGACTGTAACGACTTTATAACTGATAGGACATTGGCATCACGTGACCAACGACAAATAGCAACTGACAAAAAGTCACCCATGGTTCGTTTGTCCAACTGTAACGCTACCGTATACAATACTCACAGGAGTCACAGCCTACAAACACCGTTAAGGCCGTTCCGCCCCAAGCTTTCGCAGTGTGGTGCACAAGACATGGCTGCCGCTGAAAGAATACAGGAAGACTCTGTCTTACCAAAGGCGTGGGGCATATGTACAGCTGACGAAAGGCGAGGTAGATACCATGTTTCCTGGCGGTATTCGCCTCCAGTCTCTCTCTCTACTGGCGATCTGCGACCTGTCCTTTGACCGACCATATCTACTTACTAGTATTATGGTGGATGTTTGAAGTTCCGGTATGTCGACATGTCTAATAACTAGTGTACGACATTGCTGTGCTCACGTGATGAGGCTTGCCCAATCCACCGTCGACACCCCTGCATGTACACGTCGGCATGAAGGTTGGTTCCTTTTTTTTTCAGGCCTTAGTATAGTTAATACCCTGAAGGATATACTGTCGCGACAGATAATGTCACAGGAGCACGAACACATTGTCCCAAGAGGACGGGACGGGGATTACAAATGTATATGTTCAGATAGTCGGGAGATACCAGAACGATTGAAACTGAACCCATACACGGACTATTTTGATCACGCTCGTCCGATACTGTATCTATGTACGTACGTGACTACTAACCATGGTGAGAGAAAAGGGCCTAATCGTATAATACATTAATAATTCAAAGAGATAATGTATATCATAAAACATGGCCTTCCACAAGCGTTAAGCCCAATGCATGTAGGCGTATTTGCTGTGCACATGACAAAGAAACGTTAAATGTACGATTCTGACAGTACTTTTGTACCGGTATTAGTACTCACATATAGATTGTAATCAGTAGAAAATATGGACATTTTACGTGAATGTTACGACAGTCTACTTGATACAGGTGATATGCATGGTTGACTCCATGGCCACATTAATGGCTGCAATATGGCCACAATCGATAGGAGGCGCTGTCAGAGGGCACCGGCCATCTGAATCCTGAGCATAAAGTCCGATCCATCTTACCATCAATTTATCTACCTTCAACGAACAGAAGTCCAAATGTTTTGAAAATCGAAGTGAGCACTAAAACACCACAAGGAATAATTAAAAAGGGTAAGTAGCTACATTGTATATGTATACTATTCGATAATATATTGAACTCGAATTTTACATGTACATGTATGTGACATTTGTCTATGAGTATGATATAACAACTGAGTACATATGTATTCTTTCGTATCAGGTGCCAGAAACTGACCTAATGAACCGTAACAAAGTTATGTTTGGCTACTATATACATGTACTTTGTAATTTAATTATTTTATTGTTGATAATTATTGGCAGTACAAATGTATATTGCAAATATGTACATGTATGTGCAAACCATTAGCAAAAAATTATACAGGTCAAATGTTTTGATTTATCATATGCTATATGTATATATACTTTATTGTCTTGATTATGATGCAGTTGATATCTAGCACAACATGTATAGGTTCTGAGCAATTAATACATGTGTAAATTACAGCATCATAAATTGCAAACAAAAAATGGTGAAGAAACTCTGAAAGGCTGTAGCATAAATATATTTACTTTATAACATTAGTAATACTACACAACATTTATAACAGACTAGTTATGGCTTTGTTTGAGTAAAACCTGATGTGTACATATTGACATCCCAAGCCAGTCTGTCAACTGCCATGGCTGACCTATATTTGACTGTAATAGAGATGTGTAAACGTATACTTTAAAAGCTGAAGCAGGGTGCACACACTAGTTACCTGTGCTTTGAATTTGTCACTCGTGTCTCTCATGTCTGTATCTACAGTCAGCCTACTAATATATATATATAGACTAGCTCTGCCAAAGTGTATACATTTTGTACTTTCACAGCTGAAGCATGAGTGCACACATTAGTACTAGTAACCGTGCTTTAAACTTGTCAACCATATGCATGTCTCCTGTACCTGTATGTATGACAGCGTATATATATATATATATATATATATATATAGTGAGAGAGATAGGGGGAGACTAGCTCTGGCACTTCTTGCCAAAAGAATTTGTCTAACTATATCCAAGGAGGTTCAAAAAGAAAGCTTCCTTTTTGAACCTCCTTGCTATATCTATAACAGTTACATGTGCATGTATTTGTAAAAGTACCATTTAAAAAAGATATCACATACTTGAATAGTAGTCCACTTTTAACACAAATGCTTGAAATTGTAATTTGTTGTTTCACTTGGATCACAGAATACAGTTTTGCCTAGTAGTAGTAGTACTAGTATGTTATGATGTATGTATGTGAAAGACAACTGTACTAGTATCCTGCAACATTTCTGTGTAGGTCAATGGGTGAAATGTTTACATCAGTTTGTTTGCAGCTAACAATTAATGACAGGCCTTGCATGAAAGCTTACAAAGCAAACATTTGGAATTTGACCCAATATTTGACATCCACTTTATTGCCTACATACACAAATGGAGCAGGAAAATGGAGCATCCATCCAAAATTCTGCACAGGACACTGATCTACAGATGCCAAATTTTCCCTACCAAAATGTACACTGAAGATCTAGACACCAACTGAACACACTTTCTTGTTGCCTGTACTAACCTGTACATTCAGCTAAATGTACAATGTAGACACTGATTTTGTGCACTTCAGCTCTCACTCAGTCAACCTGCAAAAATGATATGAATTTTCGTAATGATTGCCATGAGTAGACAGCACATCTGTTGTTAGCATATATAAGTTCATGTATTTATCTTTATTCTATTTGGCTTTGCATTAGGGCAATACATGGTAGCCTAGGCAGCATTGCTATTATGTAAGGGATCCAAGATTATTGAAAATGACATACAATTTCAAGACATATATACACACAATACAGTAAAATCAATCAAATGTACAGAACACATGTATGTTACATGTCATAGACAGTTTATGGTTACCTGTAAGTTAACAGCCCTGTATTTTTCACCTGTAGTAAAGGTTACTGTTTCAATGCACTTACCACAGGCAGGTAATTTATGATGTATAAACCAATACAACACCATACAACTGTGCATTCACCACATGTCTGACTATAAATGCGTATATTGTCAGTACTAGCTGTGGAAAACCCCACAGCTGTTGTCAGATTTGTAACACATACGTGTGCGACCTGCTATTCAAACAGCAGGGACTTTCCATTACGTAAGTGGAGGGCACCTTTTGTTCAGACGTCAAGTGTTTCATAACTTATACTGATGTTATCAGTGTCCATTTAGCTTATCGCAAACAACTTGTTCTAAAACAGATGTCGTGGCTAGGGCTGGGTCCCAGTACACTATATGTCTGTACCTGTATAACCTGGGTCTGTTAAGTTAAAGGTACAGGTCCAGACTTGAGCGTCACCTGTACATAGTCTTGGTTGTCCATCGTTAGACTAAACACATACTAGTGGTAGACTAAACACTGTTGCCAGCGGATACCATTTATTTAGACACTGGTAAATCCTGCCTTGAAGATGACATTTTGACAATACAGCATTTTGAAATTAGGGAAAATTGTAGTAAAAGTTGTGTGAAAGTTGCTTGAAATATGTGTGCAATTTAATGGCCTTGAAACTTAATGCTGCTGCTTCCATGTTAATGTTTTGACTGGAAAGGGTACTTCAGGAAAAAATGGGGTGTAGGGTTGGGCTGAATTTCAATCCAATTCAAACAAAATCTGTACGGTTCACAACACTACACTTCGTATTCGTAAATCAAAGAGAGTGCATGTCATGTGAAATGAATATATGACATACTGTACTGCAAAATTTTCATCTGTAACTTACTAGTAGTAGTAGTAAGGCAGTCTACAGCATATTCTATGGCTGCTATAACGAAATTATTGTCTGAAAATTGTATGTTACATCTGGGGGTTTTGAAACTCACATATATATAACATTATCATAAATATTTCCTCTACCATATCTGTGTTCAACTAGTCAATTGCAATTGGGGCTAATATCCAAGATGATCCTATATAGGGTGGCAAAAGACAGTATCATGATCATACCTAGGGTGTCAAAATGGATACTGTATGGCAAATGGATACTGCCTGGCCAATTTGATAAGTCTTTTGCCACCTAGGATCTGCTTGGAGATTATAATGGAAAGGAAATTCAGTGGGGTGCATATCCCCATGTAGATGCAGAGGGAATTTTCAACCAATGTCACAAACTGCTTGTCAACTTGCCACAAATAACAAACCAACTCCTTGACTGTATTTCTAGAATTGGTCATAGCAAGGACATTATACACAGTGTATAATGTCCTTGGTCATAGAAAATTCTATTCCAGATGTGGACTTGGGTTTCGATTAGTCACAAAATATTCCTCATGTATCGCAATACATAATATTTTGTACATGATAGTACGCCGAAGGGATCGATCTACAAGATTTGTGGACCTGTCATACATTTCGGAACGAAAAATGGGTGGAAAATTTCATTACTTTCTCATGACATTTTTGTCAGTTCACATACATTATTTTTCCGAAACTCTCTTCCTCCTATGAAAACGAGTCAATATCCCACAGTCCGGATGATGATGACAACGAAACACATCCCAGTTCGCCCCCCTCCCCCAGTCTATAAAATAAGCACAAACCTGAATCCTGTGCGCAGAGCTCAGGGTTCCCTCAACACACAACTGTTACTCGATGTGTTCTTTCTTTTATCCAGACAATTTTCCTTCTTTTCGTTGCGCAGCAAAACTGAGACTTCTTGGGGTTAGGAGCCGATAATACAGGGATTTCCCCTCCTTCGTTTACATCATGACCTGGAATAAAACACTTGCTTCGGAAGGGGGTAAGTGTAGACTTTTCTTTAAAAATAATCGGCTTACGTTTGGTTCATATTTATGCCTTCAAATTCTAGCAAGACCAGCTAAGTAATAATAACAAAATACTTTCCCATTTAAGTTAGATATGCGGATATTTTTACTTTATTCGCATCTAGAAAAACGAAAAGTAATTTCCCCCATTTGCGAATTGTACTCTTCCACAATATTATACCAAAAGGAAGGCACCTACCAGGCAGAAATTACACAACTACGGAGATACGACCTTATTTCATATGAAAACACTTCTCTGATTCAGAAAAATAATTCTAATATTTCTTAGCCTACAGTGATGCCATTCACATCCATCTGTAGGTCGTTCACTTGGTGATTCATGAATCGTGTTCTGATGCGGTCAGTCTAAATCCTGATTACCAGGATAATGTACTGCAATGACGTCATCGGTTCGGTGACCTGGAAAAACACTCGGTCAGTGCCTGATTGGTCAAACAGCCTTAATTGATGTAAGACCCGGATAGGAAAACAATAACAGGTTGAACTGCCAAAAGAAACTGGGCTTTGCAACACAAAGTCGAAATGCGTGGCTCGAACTTAATCTCCAAGCAGATCCCTCTCGGTGGCAAAAAGACAGTATCAAATTGGCCAGACAGTATCCATTAGCCAGAGAAGCTCCATTAGCCACCGACGGGGATCAGGACAAAATCGGCCATATATAAAAAGGTAACGATCATTCCCCACAACCTCTGCTTGGAGAGTAGCTCGAACTACGAAAACACCAGAAAGCTCTCATCTTTCTCGACATCGTATTTGTCTGATTTGATTGGACATTGGTAAGATTTAAGACGGATTTATTGTTTTTATCCAGTTAAAAACAACTGAATTGCAAACCAATTTACAAAACATTAGTATATTAAAACTACAGGTTTGCAATCAATATAGGCGTACGATTAACAAACCAATAAAAATACATGTTTCATACCTGATAAATTTCCCGGACAACATTTGATACAGAACAGTGTACTACATTTAAAAAGACAACAGTCAGGGGTTTAGTCCATAGTTATTGAGGAGTTGGGCCATGAACGGTATAGGCGAGTTCTTATATAGAGGGTAAAATATGCAATACTGGTACATGTACTATATATGACACAGTAACACCTTTCGGTGTTATTGAACGTTCCCCTGCTGGCATTGTTGTGACTTTCCCAGCCGGCAAATCGGAGTCGCCAATGACAATGTCATTGAAAGACCATGCGTGCTTGAAAAACCTCTTATCCTGGCGCCACGAAGAAAGGTGAATACACACAGCGCTTAGAATTCCCAGCCTGGCCTTTCCCATGGCATTAGCTTTGTTGTCTGTAAAGTTGTACACGTAAAAGACCTTCCATTCCGTACAATTGTATTGTGGCCCAATGGCTTAACTACAGCCAATACCTGAGGCCCTGTGCTCTATCTAGGACCGTCGAAGAGGATTAACTGACGGGGGGGCGGTACCGACTTCTGACGAACTTTGACCCAGTGATGACGTCACATGTGGCTAAAAGTCACGTGTCCACAGCACTTGGGTCATAGAGCTGATGAAGACTGAGTGATTCTGAAGAAAATTTCTGGTGACTTAATTTTGTTGTAGAGTTAGAGAACAGTTTGATTTTTCAGGATTAACTCGAGTAAGTCAGTGTAACCTAATGGTGGAGTTTTGTTTTGTTGTGTTGTGTTTAGTCCGTGTTTTTTAACGGTGTCGCTCAATACAAGGCCAATTATTTTTGGCCACTTCTAGGCATAGAGCTAGAGGTACTAAAGTGAGTATATTGTAGTTATGTCAGGAGATGGCGGTGGACCTTTGTTTTGAAGCTTTGTGGATTGTAGTCGGACGGAAAGCAACTGTTTGGAAGAGAGTTCCATAATTTTGCAGTCCGGGGAAAGAAGCTGTTGTTGTAAAATGACTTGGAGACAGGTATGTTAACGGTGTATTGATGAGAACTGGAAGAGAACCTAGTGGCACGCTGAAAGGTTCTGAGTGGCGGAACAAGAAGTGCAAGTTCTCCTGAACATCGACCGTGAAAGTATCTGTAAAAGTGTTTGTTTTTAGTCTGCCCTATAACGTCAGCGTCTGGACAGCTGTGAACTCTTCTCCTGGCATCAGCGTGACGGGGGTGACCACGTGACCTGCCTCCACGCAAACGAACGAGAGGTACTCCTCGTTCCCAAGGTCCGGGAAGTTTGGGCTCATGGTCTCCCACGGGTTCCACACCACCGTGTCTGGGAAGTTCTCTTTCTCCATGTGAAGCGTGCGGCCGCCGTTTATACCTGAAACATATTCAATTCAATTCGTTATTATTATACCAACATTGCAGACATACAGTATATAGAATTATAGTGTTGCCTGAATGGCGCTGGTATTTACAATCAATGCATTAAACATTGCAAACAATGCAAAATACATAACATTACATTGCATTACATACATATGCATGTATACATGAATATACACATACTACTGATATGAACGGAACATCCCAGACATAACAAGTTCTGATTATACAGTCTGATTGTAGAGTCTGATGGACTGATGTAGGAAAGAGTTCTGAAGAGTTATATGTATAATACACTAGAAAGGTAACATTTGCAAAGAAAATGCATAATGTTTACCTTCGCATATGGTCTGCTCTGTTAATTCTTACTTAATAAACACATTCATATATATGGTGCCAGGAGACTAAATCCCTCCTGCTATAAAATTGCAACATGATGTAACCCAACACCAGTTACCATGGTCATGGTGACAGGCGGTTCAGGTCATTGACCTTAGTTGTTTGGAGAAGAAGAAGAGGAACATAATACTCATTTTCACTTGAGTTAAGTGAGAAAAGTCGTGTCAAGCCGGTGACAAGGTAGGGTTCGAACCCGCGACCTCTTGGTTCCGAGTTCTATGTAGTTAGTGCCCACCTTTGATGATGTGACTAGAAGGTGTGTTGCCGTACACAGAGTCTACAAACTCTCCTACAGTCAACAGTTCGCGGCTTTCTGTGAACCTCTGGAAGTCTCGAGTCTACGTGCATGTATTTGAATGGAAAATAATCACGTAAGGCACAGTTCTGATTTTCACATGGCTATGAATAGGCGATAGAGGTGAACAGAAAAAAATTAACGAAACTAAGGAACATAATGACATTCAGGAGGACTAATACGTACTATTTATACCAATGATAGAAATATATGATAAGAATGAGATATAAGAAGAATGCTACACATACATTCCATCTTTTTTTTTCTTTTGAGAAAACAAGTATCCTTATAAATAAATAAGACTTGCTTTTGCGGTTTTATTTCTTGAGTTCAGCATCGTGTGAACGAAATTAAAAGATGTGTAATACAAAACAATAGAGTTTAACAGAAAGGGTAAAAAAATCGGGGGAAAATGACATTGTTGATTCTCACCTTGTCTATGTACTCCAAACCTTGCATACCGGAAACAGTCACTGACCTAATGTCGTCGACCCGGAAGTAATTGTGCAGTAATGTGGTAAAATTGAAGGTGCTCTCTCCAGTATTTTTCACCTTGATAAGACAAAAAATGCCATTTATGTTCAATTTTTAAAACACAACAGTTGTGGCAAAGGAAAAACCCAAGGAATTCTGTTTGAAAATACCTTAAAATGTTGCCAAAAAAAGTTCTCATTGACAAGCAACTGGATATGATTTTCGAAACGGTCAGACGTTTCAGGTAGCATCCGATACCTTTCTCACAACTCTCCAGTGTCACTGACGAAAGGTACATGTAGTGGATGCTACCTGAAACGTCTGACCGTTTCCAAAATCATATCCAGTTTCTTGAGTAACTGTTTCTTGGCATATCTTATTACCTGGAGTGTTCTGTCCTGTAGAAAATTGGTAAACCAAAACTAAGCCTGCGGTTTTAACCCCCCGTTCCCTTCTAGTCGTATCAATCTTTTGTTGTGAAATGTCTGTCTTTTATGTCATTATTTTATTTTGATGTGTCAAGTTGGCAGGAGTGGGTTGGTGGGAGCACTTGGACAGTAACCTGCCGTGGGTAGCTTGGCACATCCTTTTTCTATTCCCCTTCCTTTGTCTATGTCTCAGTCACGCCGAAAAGTTAAAAAAAATAGTTAAAAAACCTCCTGTCTCTCTTGTCTAGTTTTCATTTTTTTTTATTTAGTTATACCCCAATTAAAAACGGATGTCTAACCTTCACCGACGTACCTTAAGAGTGGTTTTAAACGCCGTGTCTCCGAACACCAAGGCGTAAGTTAACTTGAACTTGTGGTTCCAGAGTTGTCTGGTCTCCTCATTGTCAACCAGGCTGTAGACCGCTGTGGCGTTCCCATTGGAATCCTGGGAAAGTACAAAAAGGTTATTTTTTTTTTCATTGGTAGACAGAATCATGGGATACATGTAGCCTCCGTAGCAGGCTTATAGAACTGGGGGGTTTGGTGGTCTTCGACTGTTTTCTGATTTAGCTCAGTTCTAACAGGGGTAATTCGACCAGGGGTGCTATGTTGTCTATATGCAATCAGAAAATAGCACATAAAAGCTCCCAAAGACCCTGAGGACCCCCCCCCCCCCCAGTTTTTGGCATGCTATGGAGGCTAGGATATATTCAAATTTGGGGTGATACCACCTGTATATCTCCTGGGGGTGACCAATGTCCTTGGTGCTGAACTGCCCTTCAATGAGCACGTTGGCCGAACGTACTGCCCTGCGCGAAACCCGTAATATATTGTGCATGTTACTTGGGCAGATCTTTTGGTGGCTGCAAAAACAACATCAAATTGACCAGGCAGTATCCATTGGCCAGAAACTTACCATTTCGCCACCGGTGGCAAATGGATGGCTGCCTGGCGATTTTGATTCTTTTGATTCTGCTTGGATGTTATCTTGTGTGGACTCTCCTCTAATTTCCACCTTTACCGTAAGTTTACCTTTCTAGTACACGTATATTTCTGTTTTCTTTAGCCAGGGTAGACCAATTCAGTGGCAGTAAATATACCGTACCTTTTGTGGACCCTCCTCCAATGTCCACCGGGACGTCCTGGCGAACCCGTGAGTCGGACCGGCCTCCCACTGACCAAAGTGGGGAAACGCAATCGGGATTCCTGAGGTAGGATAAAAAACAACCAATATGTTGAGGTTGTTGTAGCGTAACTGTACATGTGTTCGCTTCGAAACCAAGCGGTCCCGGGTTCGAACCCTGCCATGCTACAGACCGTGTGCATTTGCCCTTGGAAAAGGCACTTTACACGTACGACTTTCCCCACTTAAACAAGCGAAAATGAGTATATACTAGTATGTCTGTTGTTCTTGCGTTTGTCTGCTTCTTGGCGGCATGAAAATAACTTCGGAAACTTGCATTGTGATAAATGTTGGAATAGAAAAAAAGGAAACGTTAACGTTGTGTGAAAAAATAGTAGCTAAATTCACCCATAGATACCTGCTCTGATGGGTGCCTGGTTGTCATATATCGCCTCCCTACTCTGGAACAGGACATCTTTTCCCGCCACTTTCCAGGACAAGACCGTCGCTCCGTGGAAGTGTACTTGGACCTTCTGTGAGAATGTGGAACCGACGTACAGCAATGCAGTTATCAAAATATAGAAACGGATTCTGCTCTCTTTGAGACAGCCAAGCACAGCCATGGTGGTCGGTTGAGAAATATGCAGCACACTTTAGAAGTTGAACTTTGGTCTGTACAACAGGGTTCAAAAGGTTACGCATTTACTGTTTGCTAAAACGACAGCCGAAGTTGATTGATAATACAAAAGGGTTGGTGCTATAGTTGCTAGTATACGGTGGTCTATGCAGTTTTGGTCAAAGCCGCAAAGCGACGCTTCTGCACAAACACCGTTCAATTCAAAGCGAGTGAACTATTCAAGCTGGCAGGGGGTTACCCTTATAGAAAAGAAGAAAATAGAAAGAAAAGATGAAGAGGTGACCATCTAACTAAATAATTTCAATTTCATAATTTTATAGTAAATTATACTATGAAAGGGGTGAAATGTATCGCAAATAAAGCACATCTTAGGCATAACGAGCTAATTCTTACCCCTTCAGAATAGTGGCCGATTCCTTCACGGGTCACTTCTTGACCTCTACACGCGGGAAAACTGAGTTTGCACAAAAATTTGAATCTAAACTTTAAATTCTTCGGCGAAATGGCCGACCAAGAAGTGAACAGCACGTACTCGTTTGAATGTCAAGGTTACGTGCATGTTGTGGAGTTCAGCCCGTTCGAACAGTCGTCCCAACTCGTGGCGTACGGCGGGAACAACCGCGTGTCTGTGGCCAAGTGTGTGTTTCCGGTAGGTGCCCCCCTCCCCACTTTGTATATACATGTTCAACGTAACATTTAACGTAAGATTTAATCTCCAAGCAGATCTTTTGGTGCATGGGGGTAAGACAGTCTGTAACCGTTACAGACTGGCCAATTTGATACTGTCTTACCCCCACCAAAAGATCTGCTTGGATATTTAGTAAGATCATAATTTAAGCGTTACAGGTATGATAAAATTCGACAAAAATCTTTTATTTCTGAACATATGATATCAATATCATTTATTCGCCCATTAATAATAAACTATGGAATTGTATATGCACAGTTGCACTTAATTTTTACGGAAAAAATTATGGATGGATGAAAAAAGTTTTTTGATATAATTTATGAATGAAGGGAGGGAGAGAGAGAGAGAGAGGGAGAGTTCAACCAAGGAGGTTAAACCTATATATGGAAATGTGGATACATTACTTTGTATGTTGTACATGTATAATTTGGCATCTTACGCATTTTGTTAGGAAAAATTAAGTGCAACTGTGCAACTGTGTACACATTTCCATATCTTAGTACATGTATATTGTATCAGCTACCTTTAAAGTTTAATAAATCCTGTTTTAGGAAGAAGACAAGGAGTTGGTTGATCTTGAGTATGAACATCTGAGAGATTTTCACCATGGTACAAGAGTTGACGCCATCGCGTGGAGCCCACAAACCAACATCAACACCTTACCCAGGGTCGTCAGGTCTCTGAGAAATCTAACATTCATTTTCACCTTTGCATTAGAATTTAGATGGAGATAGCCAGGTGATTGCCAGACCCATAGCACACTAGGCCTAAAGTTCTGTATCTTGACTTGATCTGTATCTGTATAGCTGGTATAACCGCCCTTCATGCGTAACACACCAGCTTCTGTATCTGTATCAGTAACACACCAGCTTTTGTATCTATATACTAGTAGCCGATATAACCGCCCTTCATGCGTAACACACCAGATTAAGTTATCTAGTATCTAGTGCTATGGGTCTGGCATCCAGGCTAGATGGAGTTTGCCTTGACTAGTACAAAATTTTGAAATGTTTTAACTTTGTAACCAAACATCTGTCATCATGGTAACTTGTGTTATAGCATTGCAGGCATACTGTGGAGTTTGGTACATCACTTACTTAGTATATTGCAAGTTTTAGGGCAGACTTGGGAGGCTAATCACCATATATATGAGATAATACGACTGTGTTTTAGGAAGAATAATAACAGTTTGTTTTGTTTCATGTAATAATTTCTGTGGAGACTGAAGAAAGCCCTGCATTCGTCCCCACAGATTCAGTACAGCTGGTTCAGACAGAAAAATCCGCATCTTTTCTTCAGACTTGAAGGAGAAAGACTCTGTACAGGTGGGAATATGCACTGCTCTTGCCAATTTCTTGTATTTTCTTTCCTACCTTTCTCTTTCTACTTTTGCCCCAATTTCAAGCATTTCCAGAGATTGACCTGAAAAAATTGCAGTTTCATGAAATCAACAGTATTTGAAAAATTGATATCTTCAATAAATATTATACAATATATATTGTTTATACATATGTATAAGTAATTTAGTATGAAGTATTTTGAAGGTTAAGCATCCAGGTAATAACAAGCACAAGTAAACTGTTACTCAAGCAACTGGATAGATTTTGAAAGTAAAATTTCACTGTAAGTAACACATTCCAAGTAGCATCCAATACTTTTCTTCTGTAACTATGCATTGATAATGATATATGTTCTTGTTCCACTGTTGTATTTTCATTTTGTAGGTTTTGGAGGGTCACACAGATTATGTCTAGTAGGAGAGATTTAAACTCCTGTCACCATACGGTATATATGAATGTGTTTGAGTAAAAATTACACAGTAAGAATAAAAGATATTAACACTTATGTTTGAGTAAGAATACCAGATCATATACGAAGGTAAACCTTTTTAGTAATATCTTTATTTTGTAGGTTTTGGAGGGTCACACAGATTATGTTAACGACGTGGTGTTTGAGCCGACTGTTGGAGAGCAGGTAGCGAGCGTGAGTGACGACCACACCTGTCGTGTTTGGGACGGGGACGGCACACAGAAGGCCGTCCTGCCGCTCAGGGGACCCGGCGTGTCTGTACGCTGGCACCCAGAGGATCCTGGGAAGGTATGCTTGGGTTCATCCAGTGTTCTAGTCAACTTCCGCCATGTTGATTTGATTATATCATGGAGTTAAAATCCAGTTAAAAACCTCCTTGATTGTATGGATGACATCCGCGTGTGCATGAATTTTCAGCCGTTTCGAAATACAAAAAAGTTTGCGACCATACTGTAAATCGTACAAAATGAATGAATGTATGTCATATGTTGCAAAAAAAGTATTGAAAAACAATATTAATATCATAGAATGCCGAAATCAATTCAGGAAAAGAAGCTTAATGGTCATAGCTACTTCTCTTGATAAGTGTGTTGGGTTCTTTTACTTGCAGAGGCTTACACCTGAAACCATATTTTAGTTCACCATATTTATCTTTCATCATGTCATGATCTGACTATTTTGTCTCTAATTTTTGTAAAAAAAACTCTCATTTCTATATTATTTCATAACAAAAGCTGATGGTTGCTGAAAAAACTGGCATCATCCGGTTCTATGACATCATCACCTGCCAGCCAATCATGTCGTTGGATTGTGGCCACGCCCCCCTGACCGCAGCCGATTGGTGCAGGACGGATCCGCTGACTGTCGGGGCCGTGGCGGGCTGTGATTGGTTCATGTGGGACGTGACAAGGTCGAGTCGTCCGGAGGACAGGCGACAGGTCCATCCTGAGGGCGCCAAGAACTTCAGGTGGCCATGGCAGAATTATTAAAGTGCCTGATCAACATGTTCATTTTTGCGTCACTGACTACTAAAATTTTGGCTGGGACAAATGTAAAGACACTTTGGGACATTTTTGGGACAATAGAAAAATAATCAACTGCAGAATGTCAGCCCTGCTTCTTTTGTTTACCAGGCACACATCCTGGCTTTTGGCTTCGGAAAAGTCCCCTCAAATTTCCTGTCTATTCTGCAATTATTGTGTGTCTGGGAGTCAGAACGTAAGCAAAATAAAGTTGAAGTCATACAATACTGGGAAAGTTCATCCTCACTTGGGGACAATTGAAATATATTTTAGGGACAGTGCTGGGGCAATAAGAAGAAAAGTTAATTTCCAGTTCTCAGACTGCGTTGTTTTCATACAGCTGGTGCAGAGTGAGTGAGAAGCTGTTTGCCACCTGTGGTCGTCCCGGCAACCAGGTAAAGGTGTTCCACAAGGGGCATCATCAGGTGAGGAAACTGTCAATCAAAATTATGCAAATGACGTCATTCTAGATATCAAAACTAGATTGGTTCATTGCTTAATAAAGATACGCTTTAACCGCTAATGTTAATTATGTTTACCAAAGGAAAACATCTTTTTGCTCAGTTTCTTCTTCTCCAAACAGTGGCCTCTGACCTTAACCAATGTTGTGTCTGTTGCCATGGTAACTAGTGTTGGGTTACATCATGTTGCAATTACATAGTAGGAGGGATTTATACTCCTGTCACCCTATACTAGTATGTGAATGTGTTTGAGTAAGAATTAACAGATCAGACCATATGTGAAGGTAAACATTATGCATTTGCCTTGCAAATGTTACCTTTCTAGTTTTTAATGTTCTAGTCTTAGATATATATGTATCATAGTGCTGTGTTTTTCAATGCTGGAATTTGCTGTTGGTTTTTTTTACTTGCTAGACCCCAGTTTCCAGTAGCATGGCTGTCCAGGGTGGTCTATCGTGGCACGCGAGGCTGCCTGTCTGTGCAGTCGGTGGGGACAGAGTTGTACACATGTGGCTGGCCGAGCTATAATACATCAGTGCCTGAAGAAATTAGATACTAGTATATGGGATGTTGTACTGAACTCCTACCACTTCAAATTCTACATAATATTCTTAATTGCATTCCAAGTTTTTTTTTTTGGGGGGGGGGCTTTAGATGTCCAGTAAAAGTATGCTACATGTACAAATATCCAAATACCAGTTATGTGTCATAAATGATGTAAGTTGTAACCTTTTCTCAATTTCCTAAAAAACTAAAAAGAGGAAAATTTAAGCTGTAAGTTGAAATTTAATCTGCTGTCCAAGAGTATGTAATGTCTTTTTGTTTCGCTTCTGTGATTCAAGGAACTTGGAATGGCTTGTCTGAAAGGACTGACTACCAATTTTCAGTAACTGTTTTCTATATTGTATATGTAGATTTACAAAGTGATTTAGTAGACTCATACAATATCCGGTTTATCGTTTTATGGATGATTAAAACATGCAGGTTTATGAAGTCTGTTGAAGAAGTACATGTTTTCATTTATTTTCCTACAATAGTGGTAACCTCTACTATACAGGACTACTTGAGACAGTCTGTGCATCAATATTTTTTTTATTGAACAAAATGTCTTCTTTCTGTAAATTCTACACATTTTGCATTCTCAGACTGAAAGGTTTCTTAGAATAGCCATAGCACAGAGGCTTGAGTGCTACATGTATGTACTAAATCTTTGTCTAAGTATACAAATACCCAGTCAAACAAGTTGCTCAAACATAGTATTAAGTCATATTTTATCCTCTCTATGCTGGCTCCAAATATACACTAGTTATGAGGTAAGGCAGCAGGGAGATGCTTTTTTTAGACTAAATCTCTAAATCAGCTTCTACTGTACATGCACTTCAAAATTAAAGGCTAATTCTAAAGTCAAAACCAGCTGTTTATTCCTCCTCTCCTGGTTGCTTCTCTTTGTTTCGCAGCTGCCTTCTCGTACATTTCATCCTCCATCTTTTCTATCTCCGTCTTTTCTTCTTTCGGAGCAAACAGATCAGGAAACTCAAAGGTCTGTCCATCTCTCTGGGAAGTGAGAGAGCAATTGATAGGTCACAAATATGCAAATTAGGGATCAGGCAGAGAAGGGACAAGGGAACAATCACCAAAATGCAAATTGAGGTATGGAAAGGAAGGTTTTTCCATTGAACAATGTTAAAATCTTCAACATGCAAATTCGGGTTAAATATGTTTATCATGGACGAGGAAAAATATGTCCAAGTTTAAAAAAGCCTCTCACAAAAGAACAGAAATGCTGACTAGTTTTGACTAGTGGAATCAAAAGACCAAAAAAAAAAAAGATAATTTTTCTATGAAGATAAACTTACCATAACAACATAAGCTACTTTGTGGTCTTCAGAATTCCAGTATATTCTGTTCTGCCAGTTTCTTTTCCTCCTTCCTGAAAAAAAAAATATTAAAAGACAAAAGTTGAGACACCCAAATCATCAAGCTTCCACAGTTCTAATACCTTCGCAAAAACCCAAAACACTTTCCAGAAGTCTGAAATCTCGAATTTCTTGTTTAGATAGGATGGGAATGTTAAATATTTGCTACCTACAATGTATAATTGTAATGAACAGTACATATAATAGAGTTCCACACAGAGATGGCAGAGTAACTTACCCATCTGTATTCTCACACGGATGTCTGCCACAGGAATGTTGTACAGCTCTTCTAGGTAGATTTTCAGTTCTTGTCTCCCCATCCTGAAAGAAAAGCAATATAGTACTAGTATTCACACTAGTACAGGTAGATGCAGGGAGTAGGCTGGTACAACAAACTGCAGTACCACACACAAGGGCTAGGTGGAGCTGCTGCAGAAGGTTGACAAAGGTAATGATAAAGCATGATGCTTTTTCAAATGGAACCTAGCATCATTTATGGCTTGTGTCTGTGTGTTTCTGCATACAATGTACATACATTGCAGTCTTCACATACAGTTTCTATGCTGCAATATTTGCTTGTGTGACTGGAAGGCTTGTACATACTCTATTCAAATTATAAAGCAGTATGGGCAAGGGGGTGAAGTCTGCCGTCTCTTTTTAAAAAGTACCATAAGGCCACACTAATTTGATTTCTTGGTTAACGGATTTTTCTAGAAAAATAATGGAGCGGGCGGGCGATAAAAAAATTAAACTAAAAACAGGCCTAGGCATCCTATTATGGCCCAAAATGGTACGATAGGAGCCATGAAGTCAACACACCAGGCTGGTTCAAAATTTAAACAATGAATTTTAAACTTTTAATGATACCACTGCATTGAAAGATGGAATGACTGTAACAACTAGGAAGAAAAGGACTGTTTTCAACTGTTCAGGGCAAAATATGAGCATTTTGCAATTGATTCTGAATTTTTATTTTTATTTGCAAATCAGAAAAAAATGAAGCGGGCGAATCCGTTAACCAAGAAATTAAATTGGTGTGGCCTAATATTAATGGTACTTACTCCATAGGTATGCGGAACTGTAAGGTATCAGGAGGCTGGGGCTTGCCGGGCCGTACCAACTTGATACAGAAGGGGGTGAGCAGCACCTTCAGTCGGGGGTTCTCTGGGTGCCATGGTAACTGGCTGTAAACAAGGAGGTTTAATACAAGTTGTAAACAAGTAAACAACAACAACTTGTTTACAGAAGTATGGAAAAAAGTCCAATGTGTTAGAAATTGCATGTATAATGTGTGATACGCTGAGCAAGAATGTATTTAGAAACTAAAAAGGTCTTTATGTTATATTTGTCATAAAATTTTCATAACTTTTTTGTTACAATCAAATCTCCTTTTTCTGTTTTTAGATTGCACAGAGTACTAAATGTCTCATGGTTTTGAGAGACAAAATTCATAACCAAAACCGCTATGAATTATATTATACATTGCATATATAACAAATTATTTGGAGGGGGCGGTTTTGATATATTTTTGACCCATGTGCACATCAGTGACGCCAAAACTTCGCCTATTTCACCGTAAATAGAACGATGTCGTCACTGCTGTCTACCTGAGTTTGTTCCTTTGTACCCTGACTGATCATCATGTCTTAAAAAACGTCACGCAACGTTCGAGACTTCCGAGAAATACTCACTGTTTCAGGAGCTGTCTGAACACCAAGGACGTCGCCATCTTTTCTCTTTCACTATCAAATCTCGCAGTTCGCGAGACTTCACAAAATTATCAAATAATGTTTCTTCATATGAAACTCACCATAAATTCATTACCTACTTCTCTTAATCATCAAAATTTTTGACTTGAACAAAATTTTCCATGATATGTTGTCTAATATTGTAAGAAAATAAGAATAAAATAAAAGTCACGTGATCTATTTCGGACGTGAACTGGCGAGAGTTTGAACTGGCTCGACCGGAACTCACAGGAACTTGTCTCGGTTTTACCCCGAAAACTTTACTGTTTGGACTTCAAACATCCGTGTCTAGTCGTGTAACACTTTAAAGATGAGTTGTACGATACTTTGACGTCTCATCTAAGAGGAAAACCGGTGGATACCTGCGTCAACTGCCCACGCTAGTGACGTGAAAGTTCACGTGAAAAAGTAACAACCCACGCTCGATTTTTATCTTCCACACTTTCTTCAGGACAGGTGTGTTATTTTCAGGTGAGTCATACTTTTGGAAACTTTTCTGTGTCCTTTTTTGTGAGGTGACTAATATTTTATAGACTGGGGAAGTTTTCTGAGTGTATTCTGTGTCTTGATCATCAAACATAATTACTCTGATGTCCCGATTAAACGTACCGGTACGTTTATTTTTTTCGGCCCGAACGTCCACCCGGTACACTCTTATTAGGGACGGTACGTTTATTAATTTTTGGGAAAAAAATTGTCCATACGTACCGCACCATCAGCAAGTGGCCGGCGGACGCAAAATTCGGCAACACGTCACAGATAAATATTTGGTCCATGATAGCGGCATTTCCCATGAATATAATGTATATTATTTATTTTTCGCCTGCTGTCCATTTTTAAGTCCAAAAACGTCTGAAAAAGCACAAATTTGCCCACAAAACCGAAGGGGAAGGCGAGTAGCTAATCGACGTAATAGCACATGGCGGCCGCAAGTCCTTGTCAAAATCGGCAACGCGGCAGAAAAATGCCTGGTCCATTTTAGCGATATTTACCATGAAAAAAACGTATGTGGTTTATTTTCCCTCTGGTGTTAGTTTTTAGGTCCCGAAACCCCTAAAAAAGTAGAAATTTGCCCACAAGACGGACGGCCGACGTGGGGAGGGCGCCTAGCGCCTGAGCAGCATGACCCGTAAAAAGTCAAAGGTCATAGGGCACCCATATTGCGCAATCACCGTAAAAGCGCCGATTTAGCTAATTTTAGGGCGTTTAAAATTGATACAATCACATTATCGATTTTTAAAAAAACAATGAGATGGAAACCAATCAAAATTTTATGCTGAATAATTTTTTTTCTTCAAAAGTTTTTTTCTTCAGAAGTTTTTCTTCTTCAGAATCCAGACTTTGACCAGACTAGACAATGTACCATACCAAATAATTATTATGTTGAAATGGATTTTGTTGTACATATAGTCATTAAACCCCTATATTTGTACTTAATTGGGCTTGATTTTCTATCTCTTAAGTTAGTCAGATTTTCAACTCAAGCTGCAGGAGAAGGCTTAGCAAAGTGCATTTCAGAAGTGTAAAATGCAATAGCTTCTCCTACGGATTTTGTATTTCCCCAAAACAAGTACAATATATATATACTCATTAATTAAAGTGATATATACTCACTAATAAAATGTAATAAATGTGAAATATTTGCCCATGTATTGGTATTGAAATAAAGAGCACATTTTAGTATCATGCACACACAGTTCACCTGTCAATTTGGTCATTTTCCGGGGGGTACGTTTATTCCGGAGGGTATGTTTAATAGACTTTGAAGATTTGTCCGGGGGGTATGTTTATTCCGGGGGGTATGTTTATTAGGGACATGAGAGTATGTAGGTCAACTATAATTCATAGAACTTCAACTCAAGAATTCCTTTACTACACATTTTTTTTCTAACCCCAAGTTATAAAGCATGTAACTAACATGTAGGCCATTTCCTCATTTCATTTTGTACGAAATATTCTCCATGATCAGTGAGGAAAGAGTTTGAAATGAATTGCTACATATTTTTAAATCATAAGCATCATGGAGACAATGAAAAATAAATTTGAAAGTAAAAGTATCACCAATCACTAGAGCTGTGTACCTAAACAAATTTTAGGTACAGGTACAGGTACAGGTACACAGGTTTAGGTACAGGTCCGGACCTGAACCTGTACCTGAACAATTCGACCAATTTATATGCTCTTCTGAACTCCTTCAATAACAAAAAAAACATAAATAAACTTGATAGTTAAGGTTTATTCTTTGTTTATGGCGAATGCTCAGATAAAATATAGGCTATATATATGTTTTTGTTTTCATGAACACACTGTCCTTACACAGGGACCCATTGTTAACCAGCTATTTACACATTTGCGGTCACAAATAGGCATAAAATTGGTGTGAAATTGTTTAGGTACAGTACCGGTACTGAGGGATTAGGTATTTTGGACCTGTACCTAATCAATTTTACCGGTACAGTATCGGTACTGCGTACCGGTACACAGCTCTACCAATCACAGTTATATTTTACCTAGAACGAACAGACGAATGCCAACCCTTTAAAAAAAACCGTAAGGGAAGCACGTAATTAAAAACATTCTAGTTATGATCTCGTTCCATATAGCTTTTCTATATTATTATTTCATTCTATTTGTATCTCATTCTGGACAGCTATATTTCAAAGTTAACCAGGCAGTTAAGAATTAAGGAACAAGTTACACTTCTGCACTCCTGACTTCCTCATATGTTGTAAATGTAAGGACTTTAGACTTGAATTGTTTGCACAAATACGCATGATTAACAAATCATTAACAGACACGCACTTGCATGCTAGGCAACACATCCGTTCATGTTCACATTTGTTCTGTACATTCTTAGTCATTGTTCCAACGTGGTATCACATTTCCTCCCCATGATGTAATCGTTTACTCGTGACAATGGTGCTACCTGGCAGGTGACGCCAAGTTTACGACAACAATCATTTCCTGATTCTTCTCACCTTGCCAGGAGCCTTCTTGGAATAGCCGCCACGTTGAGCATTTTGCAATGACTCTCTCCCCCTCTCTCTCTATCCGGTTTAACGTCTGTTGTTCCCCGTACCGGAGGGTTAGACATGCTTGCACACAGATGGGTTGGGGCTGGGGCTTGATGGTAGCTCTGCTAGCTCGCCATTTGCCTCAGTCCTGTGGTTCTTGGTTACATGTCAGCCATTTTTTTTTAAACCTTCAAACTCTCTGTCGGTCTAAATTGTCTCAGTTGGTGACTCATTGTTAGATCTTGTTAATTTCTAATTGTAATCAACAAGAATATCAAGCTAAGATTAAGAAGGTTTAGCATTTCCATCTAAACAGAAATTGTGTGCTAAGTCACCTGTATTTACTAAAATAAGAACATTTTCTATCTATTCCACTTGCCTGGACCAACATTTCACTTGCCCAAAATTACCCAAAATGACTTTTGCTTAGAAGTTAAAATGTTGCTTGCTTTATTTACCAAAATAAGTGTACTTGGAGACTTTCTGACTAAAGAGCATATTTTTGACTGGCATCTTTATTTAAAAAATGATGTGTAATTTAGCTCCTAACACTGCACCCTGCCAGACTCCCTGCTGTAGTCATGTTTTGGGACTTAATAAAGTTTTTTTAAATTTTTTTATGCACGTTATTAAGTTAATGCACGACTTACGCAGCAGAAAGTTGCCCTTCTGTACCTGACTCCTATGCTGAGTGTGAAAAAATCCTGATATTAGGACCCTGTATTTCTCATGTATAGCTATGTCAGTATGTGGGTGGTTCAAATCGCGTGTGATTTAATATTAACGACCAGTAGAGTCAAAGGTCAAGCCCCTGGGGAAAGATGGCAGACGTAGTAATAAATCTAAATGTAGCCATTACAGTAAGACATCATTGGACGAATTTGAAGGTTAGACATCCAGGTAACGACGCACACGAGGCAAGCAAAATCTACCCAGTTGGTTGAGCTTGAGTTTTTATAGACATTTTCTTGTGTAACAGTAATGAATCTAGTAATACTAATAGATCTATGCATTTAGAATTACTATACATGAAATAATGATATTACGTCTTTTTGTAATTTACTTACCTGTAGTAATATTAAGAAACATACAGTTTGCAGTCTAAAAACTTTCTTCTTTGCTACCGTGCTCTTATAAGCTTATTTTCATCACTTCTCCATACTTACAAAGACAAACTGGTATTTGCACACTACACATGTAACAGTACCAGTATCTGCTAAAAAATCTAAGTATCATTGATGAGGATATACAACACAATAAACAATGAGTTATGTATACTTATTATTATTGTACCATGTACAACTGTTGTGCAATAAAGTTATTATTAATCACATAAAAGGTAGGCAGGGTTGACTTTCAAGACTAAGGAAAGGAGAGAGAACTGTACATGTGTAGTCTTCTCACGTCTGTGGGCCTGTTCTTGATTTGATCAAGTCAAATTCATGTTATCCTGTAAGGTTATCCTACCTGGCATGGCTATTCATTATACCGTGTGCTGATTGAATTTGATGGACAAAAAGTAGGTATTACTATTACATTTATCTAAGGCTTGTTTAGGAGATGCCAATTTATTGGATGATTTAGCAAATCTATGTGTCAGACTTAACACAATGTTTGATATTTTTTCAAATTGTGAATTTATATGGTACATGTTTACATACAAGTGTATTTACAAATGCAGCCATGTAACATAGACATAAGAAAAGATTTCATTTTATTTACATGTTTAAAAATTGAGCAATGTTTATATTTCAATCATTATCAATGATGATTTGCTATATTGTTATTTTTCACAGCTCAGTAACTAATTATTAAAGTCTAAACATTAAAGTTTAATGTTTAGACATTTTCTCATCAAATATTTATCAATCTTCGAAGTAAGTGTTGGAGCTATGTCCAATGGGGTCTAGTCACTGATTTAGTATATATGTTTGTACATACCGTTACGATCATACATGTGTAAGTCACTGGCTTTTTATATCCTGGTGGTGTGTGAAAATATATGCCCGATTATATATATATAGAAGCCGGTATCTCATTGACTGCATGTTCCTATTATCGGTACTACGTGAAATTTGATAGTTCTTACAGGAAGTTGACACAATGAATTGGTCCTGCTGCAAAATCCAACTCCCTTACTCATGTCTTGTCCTTGATACAGTAACGCTGCAAATGTAGGCAGCTCATAAAAGTTTTGATATTGCTGGAAGATACATGTTGTAGTAGAAATTGGCCAAAATACTAGTAGACTGAATAGTGTTAGCCAGAAGAGTTCAATACACTTTGCAACACATGGCCATGCAAGCTAACTCCAATCAAGGACATTATACACATTGTGTGTATAATGTCCTTGCTCCAATATATCAATTTTTTCAGTCTTTTTGGCCAATATCTACTATATTTTCCCTCAACCCTTTATTAGATTTTGGCAGAGATTACTAAGTTAACTACTTTTAT